ATGAGGATTCTATTAAACTAATATAAACTGAGATTAAGTGAACTATTGTTTAACTGTAATAAATTTTAAGGATATACAGTAATAAGTAATTTCTTTCTAGTCTTATTCTGCATTTCTCACGACTCATATATATGAAAACAGATTAATCAAATGCATCCTATAACATTAATAAAAGATTTTATTGAAGTTTCGTTCTCTGAGTTGGATAGTTTGGTCGTGAACTTTTCATCGTTCTTGTGAATAACATCATCAACACAAACTCCAGGTAGAAATGAAGTGTTCGAATTTCTCGACACATGATTCACGGCTTGTCCAGTTCAGAGAAAATTTTTATCAAAATCATCTACCTTCTCCACCATTAACAACAGAAAAAAAACTTAAAAATAACTAATGAAATTTATCTTTGATGCATAAGTCATTTATATTTGGTCAGAGATACTCAATGGATAATATAATAAAGCGTTTGGAGTGAAAGATACTGGATTCAGTTCTTAATACAAATAACGGTATTGGGGTACAAGTACATCCCTCTACATACACTAATTTTTATCAAAAATTTACATACAAACTTCTAGTGTTTGTCTAAAGAGAAACAATATCAAGTTTTATCCTTAAATAAAGGAATAAATAAAAATAGTTTAAAGAAATTTGTTTCCTTTCTCATTTGTATTTGTATAGGAAGATTTTTGACGGGAAATATGTAACTGGTATTGATGTTTATAAGAAGAAAAAAAGGCATAACAGAAATAATAATGAATTACATTGTGAACGAATTACAATTACAAATTTTCAGTTATAAAATACAATAAATTTTGTATAAATTTCTCGAATAAAGTTGTTTCCTAAAGGTTTATTAATTATTTTGGGTAGATTTCTTCAGTTTTATATAAACAAATAATGGTAATTAGATATAGATCCAATACTTTTCCCTCAAATACTGTTTTAGTTCACTATAATTTCAGTTGTTTAGATATCTGCTTATTCAGTTGACTCCACAGCAGTGCGCAGTCACGATCCCGCTCGCGAGATTCAGACCCAGGGCCTTCGGTTTCGCGCGCGAACACTTAACCTACTGGGCCACTGAGCCGGAACCCAGTGGTGTTAGTTTCTAACATCAACCAATCCATGAAATTTCACGACCATCTTCCGTTGTGTTGAGGTTGATACCTGTCTCGCCGACACGGATTAGCTCCACTGATCACGGCCCCGAGAACTTTCTCACGAAGATAGTCACTAGTGAGCATATGGTAATTATCAGTTTAGGGGTTGTGGAGATTGTTAAGTTTTGATTGACACCATGAACCGATTGATGTTAGACCATCATTGAAAACCTGGAAGCACTGGACGGCCGTTTCGTTTTATTGTAGGGCCCCTAAGCAGTTCGCATCCACTATCCCGATCGCGAGATTTGTCAGAAATGTGTATCACTAAATACGAGGGAAGTGTTTTAACCAAGGTAACTTAAATTAAACAAAAAAGATATTCTATTAAACTATTTAGGCAGAAAATAATGAACTACTTTAAGCGATAAAGCATAGACAGGTTGCAATTGAATAGAGTTCTTATATTCTTTGTGTTGTTCAATTTGAATGAACTAACAAATTTCGATATAATAATTTGAACTTTTTACCAAAAAAAATTGAATTAAAGTATCGTTTACTATCCACTGACTTATCTTTATAATTGGATTATATTTTAGCATGAACCAACTTTTTTAAGATGGGATTGTTTTGATGTCTTTAGAATTTTTAATAAAAACGCTCAGTGATTGTTTTCAATCACTTAAATCATAGCTAAGGTTGGTCAACATTATGATTTATGCAGTTAACATGAAGGAAACTCGTCTTACTTGGTTATTTGTAATTTTACTTACCACTTCATTGACTGTTATCAACAATTATTATAGTTGGTGATCCGTTTTAACGCATGATCTGAAAATCATACTCAGAACACAAATTAATGAAGATTAATGGAGTATTCAGTATCATATAAATAGGAAATATTGACAGAAGCTCTTGTTATATCGATAAAACATATGTCACAATTTGTAAACCATACCGAAATAAAGATCATTAACGATCTTTAAGTTAATTATTAGTGTACTATTTTAAGTAAAATTCTTTACGATAAAACGATCAGTTGTCTATAAATAAAGTTTCTGAAGCCTTTTTATTACTTATTACTGATGCGTATTAAATATTCGTAATGTTGCACCATGCAATGAGTAACCAACGATTTGATTTTGGTATTTTAGGAACATTTTCATATTTTATGTTCGTTTCAGGTAATTAATTAATGATACTTCAGAAAAATAAGACATCATTTAGCTGTTTTCCGATCTTAGTTGCATCTTTTACTTCATCAATTTACAGAAAACAAAAAAGAAACAGTTGTTTTATCATAGGAAAGCTTCAAAAGCTAAGGGACACTAGACAGTCATTTTGTCCAAGTATGGAACTCATCAGTAGATAATAGATAACGATTAATGGATGTCAGCAGTAGTCTGAATCTCGAGATATTGACAATTGAACGTCAATTCAGTGATCTGATAATAGCATGCTAGCTGCAAAGCGTGCACGCAACATCCACAAGATTTCGTGCAATCTGTTATATCCTGAGGTTAGTAATTTAGTCTATAACTCATAATTCTTTTATTAACAAAGTAGCACTTACTTTGATTCTTCATATGGTAATTTTCTCCATCAATAATTTATTCAACCGTAAATTAATTTTCAACATAATTAACTAATTTATTGTAATACGGTAAGCCAGTCGTTACATTTTCTATGCATCTTTAACAATTAATCAGACTAAAAGTTTAGTTGGAAAGTTTCCGTGTTAGTTTGTTAGTTGTTATCAATCATCCATATAAATAATATTGTCTAGTCAGTCAAAAAGTGCTCACAAATCTTTTCTTTCTTTTATAGTCTTATTATCTTTACGCAACATATCACTTTTCATTTAACCCAACATAAATATACTGCCTAGTTTTAATTACCTGGTTTCTACAAAACTGATTATAACCACTTTTATGACTGTCACCTAATCGGATGTATACTGACTGTAAAAACCAATGAAGCATAATTTCGTTGTGTCCGTCTAATTGTTTTAAAAATGCTAAGAAACATCGGCTTGTAATTTCAGTACAAAAATCATGAGTAAATCTTGGTTACAGAAGTTTCTAACATTTGTGACTGAATTGTATGCACATATAGAGAGGGACCAACAATTTATTTTTATAGACTAAAATCACCAAATATCCGATTAGTCCAACAAGTAAGAAACACTCAGTTAAACATTAAGTCAGAGTCGTTATACTAACCTTTCATGAAATATGCTTAAAGCGATTGGCAGCTCTAGAGTTACATATACATGAAATTTAATGTATTGATATACATACTTTGATGTTATACATCGGTTTCAACTACCTTAAGAAGTTGATTTGAGAAAGAATCTGTAAATATGCCACTTCGACAAGTGACCAATATATCTAGGAATTAAATTTATCCCTCTGTTACCATTTACGTTTTGTAGTTAAATCTAATATTAAGAATACTAAAAAGTGATATGTAAAAACCAGGTATGTGTAACAGGTATCCAGTGCAAACATCTGATGAAAATTAATATAATAATTGCGACGATCCTATTTATTATTATTTTAATTGCTGTAGAATTCATGTTTAGCTGTGTATTAAGAAAAAGCAGACTTAAAACTCATTTATTTAACAGTATATTGTTAGTTGGAGAAAGCAGATGGGCAACCTATGCTCTTCCACGAGGGATAACAGGCATAAGTAAGTAATATTGTTAGTTATAGTTTTTAAAATCCCAAGATACTCGTAAATTATTTTCATATAATAAGTTGTTGATTGACCAATGTCAAGTTTTCTGAAAAAAATTTAAATGAATGATGGACATCATTCCTATTCGGATAACATGAATTCATTCATTTCAATAATTCTCTTCAGGTGATCGTAACCGAGAAATAATATTGGTAATTTTTCATATGCGGTATACAAATTTGCATCATATTACCAGAGACGTTCTTATCAATCAAGATTAGAAAAATCAGATGATTACCATGAAAAAACACTACGAACCCTTTGAACATTTGTGTTATTCAATACAAAAATTCTAACGGAAAAATTTCGAAACACAAGTTTCTCGGAAAAGAACATTGAAGTCAACAGTTACTCTGAAAATTCATAGATTAAAAGAGTAAAGTGAATTAGGCTCAGAGAGGATAGATAAATAAAGTAAACGGACTGATAATAGAAAGCGTGAAATCGGACATCATACAATCAGCCGCTGTAAAACAAGGTTATGAGGCAATTCAAAACAAAAAAGAAAGTTTCTTTTTAAATGCATAGATATGGTTTAAATCTAATGACAACACGTGCTACGGGACCTGACTTTTATTCAATGTAAATAAGATCTTTAAATATAAGCATACTAAGATAATATATTTTTAAAGCCGCTTTAAAATTAAATAAATTTCCACCTATCAATCTATTTTTACTCTCTCTTGACATTGAATTATATCAGTTGGAAAGCAGCATAATTCTTGCATTCTTGACAACTGGTAACTGAATAAAATTAGAAAATATCTCTTATCATCCATAATTATATATATATACACTCATATAAACAAAGTTAATTTACAATTATCTATGACTGATTGTAAGTCAAGTGATTCTAGATTTTATGATCAAAGTAAAATCTCCGATTTCTTTCTTTGAAACCATCACCGCTTATTATTTGATACCAACTTTAATTTCAATAATTAAATCCAAATAATTTGAATCATAATTTAGAAGTAATTATTTATTTCTTTGATTAAATTATTCAAAACGGTATGATTGATAATAATAATAATTCTAATTAAGGCATAGTTACAAAATTACTACGGATCTAATGGCGGAGATTTTATTTTCTTTCTTCAAAATCTGTATTCAATTTTTCAACACAAATTCAAGACAAATGTCAATTCTTTATTCCATTCTTATTTATTTATAAATTGATAGTAATAATAAACTTTAATGAACGAATATACACAATGTATACTACATTAATAGAATTTACAATAATAAATGTTAGGAAAGGTTAATGAGGAAAGGAACAATGAATAAATGAGTTAAAAGAAAATGTAATAAATTAGTTTAATAGAATAAAATAAAAAGGTGAGTGTTGCAACTAAAAGATGAACGATATTACGAATCTGTTTTATAGTTAGTTTATTGTATTAATTTATTGACTAGTAACATTAGAATATTGTTTATTCATTAAAAAAGAACTCTGATTTAATCAAAGATGGCCACTATCTACCTTTGCTTAGAAGCTTGTAACTTAAGATTATATCGAGATAATCTGCACAGGATGCATAGATTCCAACAAGAAAGCGATCAATTGCAGTCCTAAATAACAATCGGAAGATACAAGTAAAATAACACCGAGTGAATTTATGCCATGATTTAAACTAAGCAATTTACTATCCTTAAATAATTAGTTAAACAAAAAAAACTCTCCTGTTGAGTTTATGTAAAATTCTGTCCAGCTCTGGATATATGTATATTTATGAGCATAAAGTTGAGTTGAGCAGCCAATGGAAGATAGTCACTAAATATCGTGGATTAATTGAAGATGGAGGCTCAGTGATCTATAGGCTGTGTTCGAGGGTGAGGCAAAAGGTTCAGGGTTGGATTTCCTGAACAACAGTCAGAGAAGATAAGAAGCCACATACCAACACAAAGAGACTGTTCAGTGCGTCCAGGTTTTTGGTGCAAACTTGAAAACAATTATATTCTTGTCAGAATACCAGTGTGACATTTTTTACAATTACAGAATTGACTGAGTATTTCCAAGTGAAAATAGTTATGTGCAGGAATTTTACAAAATCCACAAATATGTGCGACTAACATTAGCCTAAAAGAACAGAATAAGTCATATATAAATCAAAATCAAGAAACTTATGTAGACAAGCTTTTTGAAGATAATCAATTAAAATGAAGTATAAAAACTAAAAAAATTTACTATAAGCATGATGAAACGATAAAAAGGGAGAGAATTAAAGAATTGTTTTTTATCAGGAGGTTTTGTGGAGATTCTAGTAGTTTAATAGTTGAATTCATGAGTTAATTAAAGCTAAGCAACTATGGAAAACCTGATCGGCCGTTTCGCCCTGATACGGAGCTCCTCAGTAGTGCGCATCCACGATTCTGCCCGCAGGATTCTAACGCAGGACCTATCGGTCTCGCGCACGAACGCTTAACCTCTAGATCACTGAGCCGGCATCCAATGGTGTTAATGTCTAACTTCAACCAATCCACGAAATCGCACCACGATCAACTATTATCATAAATCAATTACTGCCTCACAACAGACACGGTTGAACTCCACTGGTCACGGCTTCTCACTAGAACCCCACGAAATACCTCTTGAAGCTTTTAAGTAAATTAAAGCAAAGAGACTTAAACTAAATACTCTGAATCTATTATATACCTAAAGTGAAAACTTATATTATCCATGCTGTTCCTCAATAAACATTGCCGTGAAACACCCTATATACAATTGATTTGTGGGATTTTCCAGGACTTTTTAAAGTTTCATTTTTGTTGTACTGTCAATCACATACATAACTATAACTCAAGACTTTAATTATTTAGTTTTCAAACGTCAGATTACTGAACTGTTTGGGACACAGGTAGCTTCCGAGCCTAATGCAACAATTGCCTTTATAAGCTTGTGCTACTCGCATTGATTGCCGTACAGATTTTTCAATATAAAATTTAGCATTTATGATCACTCCTGTGGGATGTTTTACTATGAAAATTATTTAGAATTAACTTTGATCTCTTTAGATTTCGTTTCAATTGAATAGGCTTATTTAAACACGGATAAGAAACTATGTAAATAAGGAAATAACCAAATTTACTCAACAGAGCGTTCTTCATGTACACTACTTTGATGTTATGGCTATTGTAATTTTAAATGATCACCAGTTATGGGATTGATGTCATATAAAATAATATTCGAAATGAAGCATGAAATATACCCACTCCTCATGCTTCATGAATATATATCGGAAGTATTAATGCTTCATGTTTTAAACTTGATTCAACTATGAATATATTTAGACCAATAAAGTGCAAATGTATCAAAGACAAAGTTTATACTCTGTTTCAATGTAAATGACATTCGAATAGATATCGTTTTTATCGTACCATAATTCTGCATTATATAACAGTTATTGAGGCAAAGCGTTTATGATACAAGCATATGATGTTATACATGTGTTTTATCGAGGGGAATTGGACTCTTATAATAAAAACAAATATTGGCCAATGTCATTTTGAGTACTTCTAAGAGCCTAAAATTGAGATAATTCAAACGGCGATAAACCGTCCAGTTAATCTGTGATTAAAAATAACAGCATTTCATTTCAGTAAATTTATCATTAATAAATAGAATATTGAAAAATATCTACGTAATAAAATTATCTCAATGAATTTAAGATAAATACTGTAAAGTCATAAATTTTCTTTATTTTAACCCTTATGAAAGTTTTAGTGGCCCTATATCTAACTCCAATTTGATCGTTTCTGATTGCTGTTGAAATATACATATCGCCAATTCACGTATATAATCACCGACTTGAAATCGCGTTAGTGAATAACGATATTAAATAAGTCAATAAATATATAGGAGAATAATCAGAATTTATATTTCAATCACAGTCAGATCGCAGACCACTAAAATGTGACCAAGTGGATTAAACTGAGATAGCTATTTAACTTTGATCGAATTTATTTTTTACGGAATACCTTTAAAATGCATATATAGATTCATTATTTACAGAACTATTTTTAATTTGACTGTCAAATGAACATATATAATTTAGAATATTACCAAACCTTCAATTGCTTATACCGCTATGAAATGAGGTTTATCTGAGCTATTCTCAGTTTAGTTAATATAATTTTATCAATTCACTTGTTTGAAGCATATATTATGCTATATACAATGCGATTTTTGAAATTAATATCTACATAAGACTATAGCTACTTAAAATTTATAATATGATCATTATGGTACTCAGAAATGTTCATTAACTGAGAGAATATCAACAATTCTATGGAAATTAAGCCATTAAACACTATACTTGGAAAAGGAAAAACTTAATACTTGCTAGAAACGCTTATCACAACAAAGCAAACAGTAAGATAATAATATTTAAATCTAATTCTTTTCTATAGTGTTAATTAATCTATATATAAAACTTAAGTCTACTTTGAAGGTAGTCTAAGTAATCAGCTTAATTTGGTTGAAATTAGAATAAACAAACTATCAATATTACTAAAAGTATATTTATTTGAACATATCATAATATGAATAGAAATTGAATCCTTAATACTTCATTTATTTAACAAAACATTACTACACTCTACACAAACAGCACGAGCTTTCAAGGCTAGAATCCAGTAAGATCTAGTTGTTTTATGTAACTTGATGTTTCTACTATTGTTCCAATTGACTATCCATATAACTATAATATTCAATGTCATTTTTGAAAATTCATTAGTGACTACCTTCAAGGTGAGTTTGGAAATCTAAGCTTTGACATATGAAATTAGTCATAATATTGAATAATATAGTAGTCATTCAATGATAATAATAATAATAATAAATAATAAACGAAATAAGTAATACAAAAACCTAAAATAAAAACTTAGTATTTCAACTTTTGAATACTTATCACATTAAGTAAAGACCCCTAGTTACAATAAAATAAGTTTACAATGTAGCTTACCCCACCACCACCACCACCACCTCCAAACTAAGAATCAGTTATAAAATAAAATTGAACTAATAATTATGTTTAGAATTACCTAACTAAAATGAAATAAAATAACCAAACGATCATTCAACCTACCTTGATACTATTGATTGAGAGATTATTATGATTGCCTTATTTAATATCTATATGATTCTTATATTTTCATATAAATTAATATTATCATTATGTATTTCATATTATGATATAACTAAGCAAAATGAATGCATAATTGTATGTAATTAATATTTATATTAAAATGTATTTCAGTAATATAATATATATAATTCTAATAAATAAATATATATATAATTAATCTTCACGGGTGATTTTACAAATTATTAATGTTCCCTAATATTGAATAATAGTCAGATAGTTATATTAATTATAATATAAACAATTAAATAATTAAATTCACTTGGTATTATTTAGCTTGTATCTTCCTATTGACGTTTAAGATTGCAAATGATCAATTTGTTTAAATTCACCCTATTGCACAAACAAGTGGCTATCAGGACTCAGTAGCTAAGTAGATATCGTGATAGCGTTTGCAGCGAATGGTATTGGGTTCGAGTCCCAGAGTGAACATCAACTCTGAGATGCAGGTAAATCCAGCTGACGAGTCGCAAATAAGACGAAACACGCATCCTGGATTCCACTGCTAGTCACTATACATCATTGCTTACAAAATTAAATAATTATATGGGTAATATCAAGTCATAATTATGAAAAAAAAAGTTTTTCATTGATTTTTTTTCTAATTATCAACAAAGATAATATGTAATGATTAACTTAATAATTTCTATGGATATTCATAAATCTAATTAATTCGGTTCACATTAACATAAAGAATTGTACGTATTTCAAGATTGTAGTCTAAATGGTTTTGTTGTTGCTGCTGTTGTTGTTGCTGTTGTATTTTTTCACTTACTTTCTAATATATTTTAATGATTTGTGAGAAACTGATTAATAAATACATAGTTTTCTAACTTGGTATTGAATATACTTGAAAAAAGTTACCTTATTTTCAGTTGAAACATATTTTATTTTTGTTCTATGGAAGCTTTGACTTTATAAGTAATAAACACTCTTGGTTTGAAATCATGAATCAATTGAAGCTAGATCACCATGAAAAACCTGGAAACAGTGGACGGCCATTTCATCCTAGTATGGGAATCCTTAGCAGTGCGTAATATATTACATATAGTATGCCCATTATCTTACATTACTGATTGATATTCTACTCATGATTACTAAAAATTAAGACTTTCAATTTCAATTTTCTTGCAATTATATTATTCAAGATAGATGTATAATTATAGATACTAATTAAATATGACATCATAATTTAACATTAAATGAAGAATACTGTAAATTAACTATTTTAGACTAATCAATTTTTAACAGTGACTAAGGCCTTAGATAATTTCAAATCAAGAAAGATAATCGTCATAGTTACTAAACCTTTTGCAAAGTATCTATGGCTTTTAATTTTAAAAATGATATCACATTATTAATTTGAAAATAATCACTAAAACTTAAATACTTACAATGTAATATTAATAGTAAAAAAATGTATTATTACTATGACTCATTTATGCATTTTCTATTTATTAACATTACAATATTAATTCATTACATCATATTTCATTATCAATAAATTCCCAAATAGAATATTCTATCATAATTATTCTTCATTAAACTTGAAATGAAATAAAATAAAATATGATAAATTTTTATTGTCATTCATATGAATAATAATAATGGTAATGTTTTGAATGAACAGTATAGTATAGTATCTCTAAGCGGTCATTGAACACACTTTTTTTCTGGATGTCGAATGCATAGATTATTAGTTTCTATAGAAAAACAAACAAACAAATAAATAAACAAATATTTGTTTATCGATTAATAAAATTGTTCATATTAAAGAGATAATGTTTATGACATTTTACATTGTTTATAAAAATAATAAATTTTCATTCATACATTATATGTTTTGTATAGCGTATATAAAAAAAATATACACCGTCGTAACTGAAATGAATAGTTAAAAGTAGCCATATTTTAATATTTGTTAAATTTTTCGCTAGGGGTGAGAGTGAAGGTGTTGTTCATTTGATGTAGATAATAATAATATTTGGTTTAATTCTTGAATTTATTAAACACTTATAGAAATACTTGATTTAACTTTTACACGTTGTCCATCTACACCTAATACAGTACGACTTAGACCAGGTGATGGACGTCTTCGAATTTTTGTAGGTGATAACTTTTGATTTGTAGAAATGAATGATACAGAAGAATTTCTTAATTTCTTTTGTGTAAAACTTGTTTTACATACAGTGTTTAATGAATGTTTACTGTTATATATGAAAGTTGAACGTTTACCATTTTGTAAATGTGTATTTTGATCAATATCTGTATCAGTATCTCGTAATAAATAAGATTGATTTCTGCAAAAACATTGAAATATTCTACAAAATTCATGACGAAATTGTTTACTTGTTGCTAAATAAATTGGAAATTTTGCAGCATAATGTGTCATTGCAAAACATTCAATTAATACACGTACTGTAAAGAAACGAAAATAAGTTGTCCAACCAGGATCATTACGTATTTGTTCATCACTTAAATATTCATTACCAGTTGGTAAACGTTTATGAATTACTACGGCTATTGCTACAGATAGATGTGCAATAATAAGATAAAATGATGTACATAATAATGTCAATGTACTTGAACGGGCTCCTTTACTTAACGGTTGTGAAATTTGATTACGATCACAGTTTATATTTGAATTACCATTGACTGTTGTTGCAATTAAAGTATTTCGTTTTGATTTAATACTTTGTCGTAATACTCCAATGACTAATATATTCAATACAAGACAAGTAATTGGTAAACAGAAAAAATATAATGATTCTGTGATAAAAGTCCAATTTGTATATAAACTAAATCCAATAGAATTAGGATCTTCAACTGATGGTCTAGTAGTACATACACCATTATTATAAGCATATACAAATGCTTGAACACTAGCTGTAATCAAACAAAATGCAAACATTATTGCAATAAATTTAAAAGCACTTTTCACTGTGGAACGCATTACACTTCTTTGTGAACGGAATGGATGACATATTGCTAAATATCTTTCTAATGTGAATGTAAATGCCAATGTAGGACTTAGATATTGTATTAAATAATTTATAACAGGGAATGTTTCACAAATTACCGGATGATCAAGTACACCGAGTTGCCATGCCACATGTAAATACCAATTCAAATGTATAATAAAAAAACATAAATCCACAACGCCAAGACTAGCTTGATAAACTGCAGCAGCAGCACTACCACCACGTCTCATTGGACGACTACTCCATACAATAATACTGAATATACTTCCAGGAAAACCAAGTATAGCCCATAATGGAAAATTTGCTCTTTCTACTATGGTTAAATGTGGTGCAAATGTTTTAAATAATAAAAGATCACTGTCATTATAACGTTCCCATACAGATATATTACTGATTTTATATTCCATAATTAAATTTTTAAAAATACATAAATCGTACACTTATGCATCAGTTCCATTTAGTTCAAAGTTATTGTGATAATATTTTCAATTAAATTTTCATACCTCATTCATTTCATCTTTTGTAGATTTCTGTAGTTGTATTATTAAATAACCAATCAAATAATAGTATATTAAACAAATTAGAAACGTTATTCCTTTAGAAGTTCATTCGCCTCAATCCTAATTGGTCTGATTATTTTTTTTGTATCATCACACAATCTTCATAAATGCACTACATGTATACTCTATAGACGGCTTCGTACATAACATTCTATTTCAGTAGTTGGAATGGGGTAATTTTAATAATTTAAACTTTCGAAGTTTATGTATATCAATCTGCACAATAAATGAAGTGGTGTGAATGTCAATTTAAGATTGTAAATTCAGATTGACTGTGATCATGCTCAAATTTAGATTTTAAATATTATTGCTTTCAAAAAGGATGTAAAGCCAATCTCGTAAATATAAGCAATTTAGACATTAAAGTAAACATTCACCTATAGCAATAAACACGAATAAAGAAGATAACTGTTAGACCAAAAGAACCTCTCAGTCAATATATATTTTTAATAGTTAAATTCATGAGCCAATTAAAGCTAGAACACTATAAAAAACCTGGAGGCACTGGACAGTCATTTCGTTCTTGTATGGGACTCCTCAGCAGTGCGCATCCACGATCTCGCCTCGCGAGATTCGAACTCATTAATTCAATCATTACTATAACATCCACGAAAACCCTCCCTGATTACAATATATATTTGTTGAAAAGGTGAAGCCTGTTATTATATCTAAATCAATCACATAATCATCAAACGACTATCAATAAAATAATTCATATACTCGGCATAAGTAAAAGGCCATAAAATATCCTAAGACTATATTGTGATTCATTATTAAAATTCCATTTGTCACTTCTGTTGATTTATACAAACTGTTTGTCTGTCTCCGACTTTCTGATTGCGAACAAATCAGCTATTCCTTCTGGCTCTTTGAGTTGAATATACAATCAAAGGTCGAACGTTAGGCTGAGAGTCTCTCACTCCGACCAATCAAAAGCGTAAACTATCGTCGCTCATTGGCGCCTTAGCACAAATTTAACAATAATCATCATCACATTAAAAATCACAATTAGAAAACAACTGAAAGCAAACATAACGTTTATCTGTCATATAGGCTAGCAAGCGAAAGTTGTAATGTCTTGTCGATTGAATGTTACATGTTATGTCTGGTCGTCGCTGATTGTCGCATCGGGAACGCTAATCACTTATACTCGAAACAAGGGACCTCTGCAGTTCCCACAACGCGAAAATAAGAACACAAAAACTGGTATCAGCGAAAGTTTATTAGCGCAAAAATACGACGACGACTCTAGTCAAAAATAGACTCAAAAATATAAAATGATAATTATCATTATTGTCACTTTACTCAGTATAGTGTATTTAGTAAAATATAGATAAACTCTTACTATCGGTGTGCAGAGTAGACGTATCCTACTATCTCAATTATTAAAATATCCACACTATCGTTTCATTTTTTGTGGGGTTAGTTTTATTGATTAAAATATTTTCTATATGTAGATAGTAATCATTAAAACTTTTACGGTCATTTATATCTTAAAAGTCTTAAGTCAGAATAGAAGTTAGGTTCCATAGCACAATCTACAAACCAGCGATCTCATTTCACGTGTTCTATTTTATAGGTCATCTCAACTGTTTCTTTGCTACTTAATTATCATTTCTATAACTTTTATTAAATAAATTAGATTTTTTTATTCTACTTAAAACAAAATGAACATTCGGAATTCCATATAGTGTATCTAATCTGTTTATATAACAAACATTCCACAGTTCCATTATTTTGTGAGTTGTTGAGGATGAAATCTTTCAAGGTTTTTAAATTCTTTAAGAAAAAACTTTTTAAATCAAACTACAGTTTATCTCATTGTATTTCAAACTAAAACATTGAAATAAATTTACATCACCATGTTAACAAATGTGAATCTAAAATTGTCTAGAACATTTAAATACATTAACTCCGCCTGGAGTCCCTCTGGGGGCTACTGCCGGTCCCAAGCCCGGATAAAGGAGGAGGGTTGGGCATGGGGTTAGCGTCCCCATCCCGTAGAAAAATAACTCGCTAAAAAAACGCTAACCAGAAAAAATTATTCAAACCTTTTAAACTCTGCCCTGGGAGTCAGAAGATCTTCATTTAGAAGAATTATGACGCCTCATGATGAAAGCCGAATCCCTTCGGAAGTTATGAGGCCGATGCCCCTTCTGACAACCAGAGCGACCATTTATTTAGGTACATGGAATGTTCGTACAATGTGGGACACCGGGAGAGCCTTCCAGATTGCTGCAGAAATGAGAAGATACAACCTAGAGGTACTTGGGATCAGTGAAACACATTGGACACAAGTTGGACAACAACGACTAACTACAGGAGAGCTCCTGTTATACTCCGGCCACGAAGAAGAAAATGCACCACATACACAAGGAGTTGCATTGATGCTGTCCAAACAAGCACAAAATGCACTTATAGGATGGGAATCTCATGGACCAAGGATCATCAAAGCCTCCTTCAAAACAAAGAAAGTGGGCATTTCAATGAACATCATTCAATGCTATGCGCCTACCAACGACTACAATGAAGACGCGAAAGATCAATTCTACAATAGGCTGCAGTCAATCGTCGAGAAGTGCCCAACAAAGGACCTGACCATTCTGATGGGAGATTTCAACGCCAAGGTTGGAACGGACAACACTGGATATGAAGACATCATGGGACGACACGGACTGGGAGAAAGAAACGAAAATGGTGAGAGATTTGCAAATCTATGTGCCTTCAATAAGCTGGTCATAGGCGGCACCATATTCCCACATAAACGCATACACAAAACCACATGGACTTCACCGGATCACTCTACACAAAACCAAATCGACCATATTTGCATCAACAAAACGTTCAGGAGGACTATAGAGGACGTGAGAACCAAGAGAGGAGCTGATATAGCATCAGATCATCACTTACTGGTCGCCAAGATGAAATTGAAACTCAGGAAGCACTGGACAACGGGGCAGACAATATCACAAAAGTTCAATACGGCCTTTCTCCAGGATACTAATAAACTCAACGAATTCAAGATAGTCCTCAGCAACAAGTTCCAGGCCTTTCATGATCTACTCAATGGAGAAGGAACTACTGTGGAGAGCAACTGGAAGGGGATCAAAGAGGCAATCACTTCAACATGTCATGAGGTCCTGGGTCACAAGAAACACCACCACAAGGAATGGATCACTGTTGGTACATTGGACAAGATTCAAGAAAGGAGGAACAAGAAGGCAGAGATCAATACCAGCCGAACAAGAGCAGAAAAAGCCAAGGCACAAGCTGAATACACGGAAATAAACAAACAAGTGAAGAGGAGCATCAGAACCGACAAACGTAAATATGTGGAAGATTTAGCAACGACGGCGGAAAAGGCTGCAAGAGAAGGAAACATGAGACAATTGTATGACACGACAAAGAAACTCTCTGGAAATCGCCGCAAACCAGAACGACCAGTGAAAAGCAAGGAAGGCGAGGTAATCACCAACATTGAAGAGCAACAAAACAGGTGGGTAGAACACTTCAAAGAACTCTTGAATCGACCAGCCCCACTGAACCCACCCAACATCGAAGCAGCACCCACGGACCTCCCAATTAATGTTGGCCCACCAACAATTGAAGAAATCAGCATAGCCATCAGACAAATCAAGAGTGGCAAAGCAGCAGGACCGGACAACATCCCAGCAGAGGCACTAAAAGCAGACGTAGCGGCAACTGCACGGATACTCCACATTCTCTTCAATAAGATTTGGGATGGGGAACAAGTACCAACAGACTGGAAAGAAGGACTACTGATCAAAATACCGAAGAAAGGCGATCTCAGCAAGTGTGATAACTACAGGGGCATCACTCTTCTCTCAATACCGGGAAAAGTCTTCAACAGAGTATTGTTAAACAGGATGAAGGACTGCGTAGACTCACAACTTCGTGACCAACAGGCAGGATTCCGTAAGGATAGATCGTGTACAGACCAAATCGCAACTCTACGGATCATTGTGGAACAATCAATTGAATGGAATTCATCACTCTACATCAACTTCATTGACTACGAAAAGGCATTTGATAGCGTGGACAGAACAACACTATGGAAACTTCTTCGACACTACGGCGTGCCTCAGAAGATAGTCAATATCATACAGAACTCATATGATGGATTACACTGCAAAATTGTGCATGGAGGACAGTTGACAAAGTCGTTCGAAGTGAAGACCGGTGTCAGGCAAGGTTGCTTACTCTCACCCTTTCTCTTTCTCCTGGTGATCGACTGGATCATGAAGACGTCAACGTCTGAAGGAAAGCGCGGGATACAATGGACATCTAAGATGGAGTTGGATGATCTAGACTTCGCAGACGATCTGGCCCTTCTATCCCAAACGCAACAACAGATGCAGGAGAAGACAAACAGTGTGGCAGCAGCCTCAGCAGCAGTAGGTCTCAATATACACAAAGGGAAAAGCAGGATTCTCCGTTACAACACAGCATGCACCAATCCAATCACAATTGACGGAGAAGATTTGGAAGATGTAAAAACCTTTACGTATTTGGGCAGCATCATTGATGAACAGGGTGGATCTGATGCAGATGTGAAGGCGCGGATCGGCAAAGCAAGAGCAGCATATTTACAACTGAAGAACATCTGGAACTCAAAGCAACTGTCAACCAACACCAAGGTCAGGATTTTCAATACAAATGTCAAGACAGTTCTACTGTATGGGGCAGAAACCTGGAGAACTACAAAAGCCATCATACAGAAAATACAGGTGTTTATCAACAATTGTCTACGCAAAATACTTCGGATCCATTGGCCGGACACTATTAGCAACAACGTACTGTGGGAGAGAACAAACCAGATCCCAGTGGAGGAAGAAATCAGGAAGAAGCGCTGGAAGTGTATCGGACACACATTGAGGAAAGCACCCAACTGCGTCACAAGACAAGCCCTCACATGGAATCCTGAAGGTC